GAGATAAAACTATGGATGTTGACATATTTTATGTATATATATATATTGGAAATGTAATAAGGTTTGTGATTATTAAAATAGTGGTGAAAATGTACAAATATATTGGTTGGAGTTATTTGGGTTATCTAGCTTTTCAACCTTCTATTGCATACATGTCATAGCTGATGAAATCCAAGTAGTAGTACCCCAACTAGCCAAAGAAAAAAAAGAACCAACCATGCCTATCGGCTATCGTCTAGGATCAACTTATACACGCATCTAAATTCTAAAGAGAGATTACAACCCAATTTGTGGAACAGTTGATCGAGGTCACGGGAGGAGAAATACCGAACAACCTTGAACCTTGGCTTTGATAATGGTGGACTAGTCGATCATTCACGAAGATCATACTCACCCATTCTTAGTATGTTTGGAGTTTGGACTATTAATAGAAAACTGGAGCTTAACAACATAACTCTTTGAAATGGAGGTACCAGTCCAACAACTCGACCAAATCCATTGTTCATGTTCTTTTCAACTACCTAAAATCGAACTCGGGAACAAAAACTCAATTTCATTCAAAATAACAGAATTGCTCAACCAAATGAACTCTATATATATATCTCAACCAGATGAACTCTATATATATCAACTTGATTCATTTAGTATGAACTATGAAGTATGAAAATGAGTTAAACAGTCATTAAATCTCATCCTTAAAACAAACTATAAACACTTTCCCCAAAAGGCAAAAATTGGGAGGTGAAATGTTATATCATGATGATCTTTCAAAGAGACCTTTGACATAAACCATGCCTTTCTCATTAAACTGAAGCTCCTTCCTCATTTCTTCAACCTGAACATCATCTCCTTGAACCACAATCTCATCCAATCTCCCTTTTGGTCCAACCAACATCTTCACCTTTATCTCCTCTTTCCTTGACGCCTTTTTCCAGTAATACACTCCTCTGCAACACAACACACAATCATCACCAAATCATTCACAAAACACAGTTCCACATAGACACAAACACAGAGAGAGCCTTACGCGAGTGGACTAAGAAGGGTGATGAAGAACCAATTGTTTCCGAAATCAGGAACTGTAATGGTTAGTACAAGACCAACACTTGCTAAGCTTATACATGTACAAAACGTAAGCAGAGCCGCTTGTCCTCTACTTGGAACCATCTTCCCTTCAAACCTATTTAATCAGAATCCCACAACAATGTCAGTAAACTAAACACCAAAACCCCCTCAATTTTGAAAAATTCAATCTTTTTTATAGCTTACGTGATCGTTTCTCCTCGATCAGTAATGTTAAAGTTCTTCCTTGTGAAGAAAGATAAAATCTCTCCAGCTACTTGCTTTGGTTCTTTCTTAGCTTCATTAACAACAAACGTCTTTCTCACTATCTGCAAATCCCCACAATGGATTCAATTCAAGATTTTTAAAATCAAAGAAATTGGGAATTTGTAATTCGTAAAGTTCGAACCTTTGATTTAACAGAGCGCTTGATGAGAGACCAAAGACCAGGAACAGAGATAACAAACAAACCCAAAGACGTGTAATAGCTAGCCAACGAGTAACCACCACCAGTCTCAGCCATGAACAGTAACGAATTAGGGTTTTGCTCCCACCATTGATGAATCTGAATCGCTGAAGATGAAACAGCAGAGAGAGGCTCCGCAATCATGGCCGTGACAGCAGAGACTCTGTTTCTCTTCGTGGTCATCCACTCCCGTCTCCGTCGTGGAAGCCCTTTGATTACTACCTCTCTTGAAGTAACCCATGGACAAGACAACGGCGGAGTAATCAGCTTCATCGCCATTGTCGAGAGCAAGAAAAAAAAAAGCTTTCTTTTTGGCTAACCAAACAAAAAAAAAAAAGCTTAAACCTTTACATGATGGGTCTATCCAAAATCGAGTGGTTGTCATTTTTTCTAATTTTTAAACGGACTCTTTTAAATATTTATGACAATACATTAGCTCTGTTTCTATAGTTGTAAGAATCAAAAACTCTGGTTTTTTTATTTGCTTTTCTGAGCTTTTCAATCAAATCAGTAGTACTGTGTGTTTTTTTGCTTCTGTAAGGTCAAGATCTGGAAGGTAGATTAGATTACAATGAGACCCACCAGTTCATTTAACGATTTCACCATCTTACAGAAAGAACAGTCTTTATCATTAGAGATCTTCTCTCCCGACATAAAAATCAGACCAAACATGATTTTGATTTTGCAATCTCCTCAAAGACTGTTTATAGTTCTGTGTGCCCACAAAGGTTTTAGCAAAACTAGGGACAGTAATAATAAATATAAAATCAGAAAGCATTGAGATGAGTTTTGACTGAAACAATATTAGTTTCACTATCTATACTAGTCCATGAGTGTGAGTGTGTTATCCAATTGGAATCTTTTGATCAAAACTTTTGAGACCAACTTGGTTAATATGTCTTCTTTGGCAATAAAGGCTATAAAGGTATAGGTAGGTTGAAGCTAAGGTCAAAATCTTTCCCAAAATTGCTACTATATATGAAAAAAGTAGCTCTGAGTTTTTCTGTACAAACATAATAATTTGAGTTCTTCAGACAGTGAGTTATCACCTTCTGTTAGTTCAACAGTTAGCCAATTGGAATCTTTTGATCAAAACTTATTCAACCAACTTGGCAATAATGGCTTTCGAAGCTATAAGTTCAAAGATGATCACATTAAATGTAATTTTGTTCTGCTATTGTGCTAAAAATGGATTCACTAGTACACTACTACAAAGTATCACACAACATTCCACTCTTTGCTTCCTTTATATCAATAAATAATGTTTTTACAAAGTTATATTTTCTGCACTCATTGCCAAAAAATAATTGCTGAAAATAACCTCCAAAAGGAAGTATAAAGGAGGAAAAAAAAAAAGAAAAAAAACAAACGAATAATAATAATAAAGCTCAGCTGTTCTTTATACACTTAAACACAAAACAGCTGATCAGTCTTCTTCTTCTTCTTTCTCCTCTTAAGTTCTCTGATTAGTTTTGTCTCAGAGAACTTATATAATATATATGTATATATATGTAAAAAGATGCTTCCTTTATAAATTACTTGGTTGCTTTAAAAAGCTGACTTCCAAGAGTAACAGTTGGAGTACCTTCACCCATTACTGTTGTTAAGCTCACTTCTTTGTCCAATACTCTCTCAAGCTCTGTCACAACATAACTCATTGTTGGTCTCTTTTCACTTGAAACATCAACACATCTCAGTGTCAATGTAATAAGCTCCTCAACTCCTTCTGCTGTGTATGTACCTCCTAGTCTCTCATCAATCATCATTGGTATATCCGCGTAATCAGTTAACTTTTGCATCTGCAACTCCAGTGCATACAAGTGAGATTCAATATAGATTACATTGGCAGCATTATGTGATTTGGATTCTGTTTCAGTAAGGTTTTAAGAATGTGATTACATACCCATTCGACTAGAGTCTGTGCTGAGCTTGAAGGGGATGGTTCTGATGCTTCTCTTCCACTCACTAATTCCAAGAGGAATACACCAAAAGCATACACATCACTTTTCTCTGAAAATCTTTTGAACTCTTGAACCCTGCAAAAGGAGATAATCTGAGAAACTTGGATACAAAAAGAATCAACAAACATAAGCCTCAAAGTCAGAATCCAAATTACTCAGGGGAGAGGAAAATCTGATCTGCAACAATGTGAGACGATGTACCAACTTCCTCTCTTCCTAAGAAATTACGAACTCCTGCATCCGCAACCTTAGCAATGAAATTTTCATCCACAAGAACATTAGCGGTTTTGAAGTCCTTGTGTATCAATCGAGGACTCAGTGAGTGAAGATGTGCCAAGCCTAGAGATAACAAAGGGTATATGGAAGATCAGGACACAAGTCAATGAGCTTGATTCTCATGGCTTTTGTATAAATTTTTACCTTTAGCAGCTCCTATAGATATTGCAAGCCTATGTCTGAATTCTAGCCTATTTCCAGGTACTTTACCACCAGCTCCTAATAACAAGAAAAGATCCAAATGAATCTTACATTGTCCAAACTCATTTCTCAAACTGATTAAACACCAAATGAGAACAGCATTAATCTCATAATAAGGACAGAGAGTTACCGTACAGGTGACTGGAAACACTTCCATTAGGAACATACTCGTAGACAAGAAACTGTGTGTTGCTTTCTTGGCAATAACCCAATAGAGTAACAAGATTACGGTGATGGATAGAAGATAGATAACGAACCTGAAAAAACCATTATCCAAATAAGCCTCTCAAACACACTTAATTCAGAGACCATAAGCAAAAACACTAAACAAGATCATCATTTATAGAAACCTCGTTAACGAACTCTTGAGTAGGCAGACCAGGTCTTTTCTTAATAGCTACAAGAACACCATCTTGAAGCAAACCTTTGTAAACCTCGCCGAATTTGCCAATACCTATAAGACTTTTATTGGTAAAACTCTTGGTGGCTTGAGCAAGTTCCTCCATTTCAAACCTTCTAGCTTCTCTCATTGACAACTCAATTGCAACATTTCTTCCTTCTGAAAAACAGAACACACACACACAAATATCACTTTAATCATTTTGCTATCATCCAAGAAAGTCAATAGAGAGAGAGAGAGAGACAAGGATTTGAAATTGAATTGATGGGATTTGTGAGAATTTACCTTGAGTAGATGGATCAGAAGAGCCAGTCTCAGAAGTTCTAGAGAGATTCTTACGACGAAAGACACAAAACCAAAGGAGAAAAACAAACAAAGCAATCAATGCAAGAGCTCCTACAGCACCACCGATGGCAGCTGCAAGAATTGCTGACATCGGGAAAACAAAACAGCCTCTTCTCCTCTCTCAGCGATGATGCTACAAGCTACTACTACTACTGCTACCATGCGATAACCCTGGAGGAAGAAAGAAAGAATAAAAACAAGAATGTCGGCGAAAGAAATAAAAGATTTATAAAGAAGAAGAAGAAGAAGAAGAAGAGACAATTTTAAAAGCAAACAGAGCTTCTTGAGAGGTTAAAAGAAAAAAGAAAAAAAAAGGTGTCAACTTGTAAAAATTGAATTTTGTGAAAGAAAAAAAAATCAATCAATCAACATGCAGTAAATTTATAAAAAAAAAATTAAACCTTGACAGATCTCCAGAAAATCTCAACTTCATCGGCGATTAAATATCAACAATCGATGGACGTGATTCCCCACAAAAAAAATTTCTCTTTTTTTTTTTTTCTTTCTTTCTCTACATTCAATGACAGGAAGAGAAAAAATTCCTTAAAATCACCAGATTCAAGAAAAATCAAAGTTGGGGTTTTTTTCTTTTTCTAATCAAGAAGCTTGGTGTGAAAATGGAAAAGTGTATTTTCAAGAAGACCAAAGAAACATCAAATCACACCACCGCCGCAGTTTCTTCTAGAACTTGAAGGTAAGAAGAAGAAGAAGAAGAAAGCAAGACTTGTGTCGGAACGCAGACAATGCCGACAGAAAGTGACATTGTTCAGACAACAACAACTCCCATCTCTCTCTCTCTCTCTTAAGACTCACTACTGAAACATTTTAATTTTTACTTACTTAACTGAGAATCAAACAACAAGAAGAAGGAATCAAAACTTAATTAACTCTGGTGAGTTTATTTTGTTTTTCACTCATGTGCAACCACCAAACCCATTTGTTTAATTTGGTGGAAGAAGAGAAAGGAATAAAAAAGGAGAACCTTTGAAGACAAGAGTAGAAGCAAGTGGGGTACTTCGCCAGTTTGCAATTACAGCGAAAGCAAAAACCTTTTTTTTTTTTTTTTAAAGAAAGATTCAGAAAGGAAGAAGAAACTTAAGAACCGCCGTGTAACTCAGTGTCCGCCGCCGCAAGTTTTTAAAAGAGACGAACACAATACAACAACACCACTCTGTCTCTCCCTTTCTTCTAATTATACTTCCGCAAATCTCTCTGTTTTTTATTTTTCATTTTTTCGCATGTTTTTATTTTATTTACTTTAATAATAAATGAGTACTTTGAATACTATTACATTACCAAAATTTTTTTTTTTTTTTTTGGGAAATTAATTAAGCAACCAATGATAGTTGGGAATTTGATAACTAGAGAATTTTATAATTCTTAGACTTCATTTTTTTTTTGAGTCAATCAATCACATAATTGTATTGGAACAACTTTTTCTTTCACTATCTTATTAGATTTATTACCAAATTAATAAAAGAATTATATCATTTCATAAATTTCTATATAGTTTAAGATTTTTTTTGGTTATTTCCCTTAAAAATAAAGGATTTGTTAGATGTCATAATTGTTTTTAGTTTAAGCTATGTATAAAGAGGAAGAGCTTAAACTCCTTAGAACAACACCATTGTTAAGTTTCATTGAGTTATGAAACATATTATAAACCACTTAAAGTTTGATTAGATGTTTTATCGATTTCGCGAACTAACGATAATTTATAATTTTAACGTTTTTGATGATAGTGAAGTGGTTAAAATAAAAATAAAATCAGTTTATTAGTTCATATATATTTTTATTTTTACTAAACAGAGGTTGAAAAATATTCATAACATGATCATGTTAATATCAAGGAAAAAAAACCTATGATATTTCTACATTCTTATAATAGTGTAACCATTTTTGCTACATATGATAAATCTAATGTTAGGCATATCAATTGGTTTCTTCTTCGTTGTCACATGACTCACATATATATCTTACTAATTTAATACTTGAATGAAACAACAAGCAATAGACGCAAATTAAATAAATAATTAACCTTTTTGATATTAATGACAAATATATATCCAGCGAACAAACATTCATAAAAATATTCTTTAATTAAAAAATTCAACAAACTTCACTTTTTTATTTTAACAAAATAAAATAAAAATGTAGGAGTGAGTAGTAGGACAGGACCACAATACTAAAAACATCGACAGAGTGAAAAAAAAAGGTAGGAGGAGCCGAGGAGGAGGAGGAGGAGGAGGAGGAGGAGGAGGGGTCATAAGCCAGCTGTATCGACCATACCATTTTTTTTTAATTTTTTTTTTTTTTGCTTCTTCTTCTTTCCCTTTTTCAAAACTCGCATTTCCACGTTCTGCGTTTCGCGTTTTTCTATGTGTTTTTTTTCAATCTGCGTTTTTAACGTTTCTCTTGACTTTTTTTTTTTTGTAGGAGTATTTGTCTATTTTCAAAACTGTGTTTTAAAAATATATATATTTGAATGAAAAGGAATAGAGGAGAAAAAAAAAATTGAAATGGGAGGACCAATGATTGAAGCGGCGGTCGTGGTCATCATGAATAAATCATACAAATCGGAAATGATTGAAAAGTGACTTGCAAAAAAAAATAGTAAATCAAATCATACTAGTCTGCACCAACCGCTTATTGCTCGATTTTTAAAGACCCATTTAAGGCCCATTAAGTAAATTAAATGGGCCATTCGTTCTATGTGAGAACGATGCTCTTATGACAATCGTTTGGGGCCATCTCAGGTTTGGGGTGTCGGTCTGTCTGTTTCATCAGGGTTTGTTGTATGTTTATTTCTTGAAGTTTTATCTGTTTCAATTCGTTTTTATTTTTGTTTGTTTTAAATGTTGGGAGTGTATCGAAGTAATCGAAACAAAACCAAATGTAAATAATAATTGCCTAGTTTGGTTTAGTTTAAGCAAATTATGTGTATAGCTAATCATTTAATTTATTTTTATGGTTTTATTTTATAACAAACTATACCAAAAAAAACCCGAATAATTTGATAGGTAAAGCCATATTCAATTGAGTTCTCCCATCGTTTTTCGTGTGTATTGTTGTTTGCCACAAAAAAAAAAGATTTTTTATATTGGCTCGTACATACATATTTAATATATAAACCATATATATATATATTAAATCACACACTATCAAACTATCGAAATAGAAGTCACATCGTATGGACAGATTGATGGTGCGGAAAGGATAGCCAAGGTTTTTGGGTCTATTGTGTGTTCTTCCCTTTGTTGCAATGATAGGTTGGCTTTGGCTTTGGATGTCATGTTGCGTAAAAATGTCAAACACACTTTCTCATTTATAGTTTACGAAAAAATTATTTGTTTCACTATCTCTTTATTATATATAAAAAAAAGCATTAAGACAAACAAAATATGCAATCATACATATATTTTAGCTTGACCAATATATATTTTGGAAGGAACAAAATTTTATCTTTCGATATGTTGTAGAATCAAACCTTTTCACTGATTTAGTCATCAAATAGGAAATCCGGATCTCTCTACATATTATATGAACATGAAGACTCTTTTTGAACAATTAAATGGAACTAAATCAGTATATGTTTGTAATCATATCACGTCAACATATTAGCAGTCGAAGTCGGAGTGAGCCGATTCAATGTCTACAGGGCATTAAAGCTAGCTCTCACTAACAAAACCAGTGAAATCTTATTATTGATAAGTATTACCATATCACAATTTGTAGTTTTTATTCTCTTTTCTTACTCATAAGAAACTCAATCTCGAACGAAATCAGAACATCTATTTCATCACAAGTGACCAACCATATATTTGACTTTTAGTGGCGGAGGCATAGATTAAAGAGTGGATCAGTTGACACCATGACATTTATAATTTCTTTTAGTTATAGTCTTAGTTTCTTAATATAGTTAGATGTTTTAAAAAAAAATTCACAATGACCCCTATATCATGTGATCAATTCTTGTATTTAACCCATGCATATTCATTTTGTCACTTAACCTTTATACATTTCCCATTTTTGTTTGGCTAAAAATCTGTAATATATTTTTATCATAAAAGTATAGGATTCTTACGGAAAATGACATTTTTCTAAGAAATTTTTACGAATGTGCCAATTTTCTTAGAATCCTATAGATTTGGTTTTTTTGAACTTTTTAAAATGTCTATTTTTTGTTTTTTTGTTTTTTTCTTGCTAAAAGACGTACTATATATTTAATATTAAACTCTAAAGACAATTAGAACTGACTAAACCCAAACATAACGAATAAAACGCATATTTAGTTATATTTTTTTTAGCTTAAAAAATGGCAAAATCAAAAATTTGGTACAAAGTATTGGCAAATAATTCATTATTGATTCTAAAAAGATCAGTAATATTCATTTACGTATTGTTTTTTTTTTTTTGTCTTTTCAGACATATCATGTTTCTTTATATGTTTTTTTTTCAACTTTCATAAATTCTTTTCAAAAAATTATTTAAATAATTTAAATAATTTTTTTCTAAAGGTTATAACAATTTAACAAATTAAAAATAGTTATACATATATGACCCTTGCAAATATTTGGCTTATGAATTAATAAGTTATGATCCAAAACTGAATTTCATAATGCCCAACCCTACGTGGATATAGACATTGTGTAATCGTTAACTGATAAATAAAAAAATCGATTTTAAGCCAAAAAAAAACAAACAAACAAAAGACTCATATGAACTCTCTTACTTAAATTTAGATAGGCAATGATCAAAACGAAATGGTCTAAATTAAAATAGGATTTTTGTTTTTGAAGTAACGTGGAATAGAACGAGTGGTTAATATTTAGTTAATAAAAGAAAATTGAATGCTCTCTCCTTCGTCAGCTCTCTTAAATTTGTCTCCGGAAAAAACTCATCTTTTCCTTCTTCCCATATGGCTAACAAACCAAAACCGTTCCTTTCTTTTTCATTCTTCTTCTTGGTTTTGTTTTCAGCTCTTGCTTCTTTACTTCTTGGTTAAAAGATTACAAAAAAATTTGATTTTTTTTCTTTTACTCTGAACAAGATGATTCGCCATGGAAGCTTCAAGCTCTGATGATGTTTACTTCTGATACCAACCGATAAAGACACGATTTTTCTCAAAGCTTACGACCTGCATTTTCTCTGTAATTGGTTCTTCTTTCTTTATGTCTCTCGATTTCTTCAATCTTACAGAGAAATTTGTGTTTTTTAATGAAAATTTTGGGGTTGATTTCAGGTTTTATCAAAAATGTCGAATCTTTCAGCAAGAACAGGACGAGACCATCAACGTTATGACAACAACTTCCGTCTTGTTTCTGGGTAACTAAATCCTTTTATACCCTTTTTTTTTTACATCTCCTTTCACTTTCATGTGGTTGACCTTGATGATTGACTCGTTCTTGATTGGTATGATGTGATTGTGGTGTGATTTTATTGGTCTGGTTTTGTTCAAATTTGATTTCAATATTGGAATTTTCTATGAAGATGATAATTTGTGTGTTGAATGTGATGACAGATGTATACCTTATAGGATGGTGAGAGATGAAGAGGAGGAGGACTCAACAAGTGTTGACTTTGAAAACAAGCTTGAAGTTCTTATGGTTTCATCTCCTAATCGTCACGATCTTGTTTTCCCAAAGGTTTCTTTATTTTTTCATTGTTGGTTTTGAAACTATATGTTCAAAAGTGCTATTGTATGAATCTTTGACTTGTGTATTTGTTCAGGGAGGATGGGAAGATGATGAGACTGTTCTTGAAGCTGCTTCTCGTGAAGCCATGGAAGAAGCAGGAGTTAAAGGAATACTAAGAGTTAGTTTCCTGTTTCAAAACATATTTTATCGATAGCTCGAGAAATTTTTTGTATAGATTTAGATTGAGTCGTTTATTGGTGTGTTCTATAGGAAGATCCGTTAGGAGTTTGGGAATTTAGAAGCAAGAGTAGCAGTATGGAAGCTGAGTGCCGCTTAGCTGGTAGATGCAAAGGTTATATGTTTGCGTTAGAGGTGAAGGAAGAGCTTGCGATATGGCCAGAGCAAGAAAACCGCGAGAGGAGATGGGTAAAGAAGCGTGTAAACGTTGCTTTCTGTTTGTGTCATATTACATTCTCATTTACTGATAAGGGGTTTGTTTATAAAATGCACAGTTGAATGTTAAAGAAGCCTTGGAGCTGTGTCGGTATGAGTGGATGCAGAGCGCGCTTGAAGAGTTTCTACGAGTAATGTCAGAAGAAGGAAGCACAAAGGAAGACTTTCTTGCCCTTTCCAGCATTTCAAGTAGAGGAGAGCGTCAAATCGATCCTCAGTACTGCTCTGTAGTTAATTAGTTTCGTTTCTCTAGGCTTATCAACTTTCTCAATTGTAATATATTATTGAAAGCTTCTTCTGTAAACAAAGTTAAACATGAGAAGCAAACGACTTAAGACCCTGTGACTTGAATATGTTTCTCAACAGAGATTATATTAATTCGGAGGATACGTTGTTTTAAATGTTCTCTAAAACTACCACACACGAGGACAATGCATTTGAGATTAGGAACCCTTTCACCACATAAAAGGCCTTGGCTTAGAACATTTTACAAGATTGGTCTAGTTACTTTAAATATGACTAATACAGGAAGTAGTCAGCGACCCAGTGTTTGCAATGAGGTTAATGGCAGTCCTCCATCTCCAGATACTGAATCTTCCTCTTCTTTAATCTGATTTTGTCTTATTGTATTTGCATTATCTCTACTCATTGCTTGTCTTGCGAACTGAACGATTCAGCTTGATGTTGATGTTGATGTTGATGCTAAGCCTTCTTCTAGGTAAAGAGAAGTAAATATAGCATATAGACACTATTGTTTCTTTGAACTCTTTTCTTCCCCAACCATCATAATTAAAAGAACTAACCACATGATGATATACTAGACTGATACAAGAGAATTAAACTTTTGGATCAAATAATATCAAGAATCCCTCCCAAGTAATTCTACTGTATTCACTAGTTACAGACTTAAAGTATCCAAGATCTTACTGAATCATTAAGCATCCCTTGAAAGCTTCAAAGCCTTCAATGATCAATCATCCTGGAGTCTCAGCGTCTGAGCCAGTCTCTGAAACATGATTGCATTTTCTCACGATTTGCAGCGTCTGCATTGTTCACGGTCGGAATGATCTTATCTGGCCTTAAAAACTGCGTAACAATGGAATCAGTTAATGCTAAGAGATGTGTTATCGAGGACAGACAAGGGTAAGAAAATAACAACATTCTTGGTACACACTTGAACAAACTCACGAAGTTCTGTGAAGCTTGAATGCTCACTATATGGAACCCCTAGAAAGATACATAATTACAGAGTTAGACAAATCGGCCTACCACGAATCATGACGATACTTAGAGCTATGTGCATAGTATAGCTCATACATAATGTGCATTACAAAAATGAAACTCACCGTAAATGGTGATTTTTCCCCTTGAAGTTGGTTTTATTAGATCAAGGTGTTCGCCTATTTTCTCGGAGTAAGTCCAACCTGAAAACAAACTTTACTCTTGAACCAATTGTTCGAACAAAAACCTTAAAAAAAATAAGCAAGGCAAATAATTCACCTGTGGGCCTAAATGCCAAAACTGCTCCATACTGTTCTCTATAAATCTTCAAGTGTTCATCGAGTCTCTTCAGAGATATTATCAGAACAGAGATAAGATCATGAGAGGTTGACGTGGAAACTATATAGAATAATAATACTTGAGATAACTATCTTGGTTTTAGAGAAATACTTCAACTTTCAATGATGACATAGGCAAAACATGAAGACATGTGGTTTTCCCATCTGTACAAAGATTCTTCAAGATATCATCCCAACCAAATGATTGCAGGATCCGTCTTCTTGAAGCATTTGCAAATATCTTAACCTGTAAACCCCTCAAAGTTAGAACATGGAGTCCAGAAAATATGGCTAAAAGGAAAGCGATTTTTTCCAGGAACTTATACCCCAAGAGCTTTGGCAATAGCAAGATAAACACATTCTTTTCCAATGCTATAAGAACCAACCACAATCAGAGTCTTTGGTTGCTTCCTGAGGAAATCCTTTGTGATTCTCACAACATAACCTAAGACATCTTCTTTGGAGGGGAACCTAAAAAAAAAGGATATATCAAACTTTAAGAGCATGCTCCCTCAAATCCATCATAAATTGTATTATTCAAAAGTTCTAGCTCTCACTTGTATCTAGGATTGCAATATGTTGTATCCAAATACAGAACATGAACTCGTTGGTTAAAGAGGAGAGGATGAGTTTGCATCTGTTTCGAAGCCCTGAAATCTCCGGTGTGCAGGTAACATGTTCCATCTAAGAGACGAAAGTGAATAAGAGCAGCACCAGGGCAATGATTAGCTTCAATTAAAGTGACTTTGATTCCATTAATAGTGTATTCAATGTCAAGCTCCAACGGATGAATAAACCTACACACAAAATTCACCACACTGAAACTCAAAATACACAATTTGTAGTAACTCCTTAGACATAGATAGCACTAGCAAAGAGCTTACGAGGGATTAACAGAGAGACTAAGTCTAAGAAGACGACTAGTGAGAGAGGAGCAGTAAATAGGACCATGAGACCAATCTTTAGTGAGACCAATGTAATGATCAGCGTGAAAATGAGTAAGGAAATAAGCAGAGCATCCTTGAACACAACCATAGCGAAACGCATCCACAGTGAACGGTGTTCCTACATATAACCACACATAAATTTCACAAAACTGACAAAGAGAGAAGACGATTAAGGCATATGAATGCGAAGAAGAAGAAGGAGAAGAAGAAGAAGAAGAGAAAGACCTGGTAGTTTCTTGTAAAAAGGACATGGTCGAGGCGAGTCATTGCTAAACAAAGAATCTCTACGCCTCTTTCCAAGACCAGTGGCCGTATTTTTCGCCGAAGTAGAAGCAGGGGAAGTGAAAGGAGAAGGCTTTTGTAAACCCCAAATCTGAAACAAGTCAGTTTGTTTCATCTTCTTCGTTGTATCAGGAGAATTCTCTTGTAAACCCCAAATCTGAAACAAGTTCGATTGTTTCATCTTCTTCTTCTTCTCAGAAGACACGGCCTCTTCATCTTCTTCCACCAAACAAGACCAATCAGAACCAGCCTTGTAGAAATCAGACGCAAAACCCTCTTCTTCTTTAACACCATCGTCATAAAACACAAAACCCTCTTCGTCTTCTTCTTCTTCACTTACATTGTCGTTGAAACGAGAACCAAACCAGTCGTCGTCTTCTTCATCAGAAACCTCCATTTTTTTTTTCTCTTTTCTCTCCTATGACAACGAAAGGTCAAAAGAGTCAATTTTTACCCGCCCGCCAAAGGTTGCTTTTTGGCCATTGAAGTGTCTCCACGAGAGAGAGAGAAGAGAAGAGAGTAAAAATGGTAAAAAGCCCAAAACAAAACGTGAGGAGCAGCAAGAAGACAGATTTAAACACAAAAGGGCCCAAAGCACTACGTCATTTTTTGTATGATCAAAATCGCATAGTCGTCGTCTTTCTTCTTCCTTCTTCAAACCCGTCACCGTCGTTTGGAAGCTTTATCGGCGATTGGGTCTTCCTTACGAAAAATCGAAACTTTATTTTTTGGTTTTTAGAATTTTCAATTTTTAGGGGAAAGATCCAATTTTTATTCTTCTTCCTTTTATTCGACGCCATTTTGTTTGGTAAAGCTTAAATCTCAATTTCAGAAAAAGGAAAAAAATAGTTTTTTTTTTTGTTTTTGTTTTTGTTTGTTTTCTTTGTTGGGAGAGGACTTGTAAATCTGCATCTTCTGTTTAGAATCGATCTGGATCTGAAGCTCCTCTATCGTCTCTTCGCAGGGTTTGCCTCCTTTTCTCTTTTCTATGCTAATCTCAGAAACCCCTTGTTTCAATTTTGTCCGTTTGATCTCTGTTTCAATTGGATTCAACGATTGAAGAAACCCATTCTCTGATGAAGTCTGTTTTGGGGGTTTTCTCTTCATTACCTTATCAAAGCTGCAAGCTTGTGTTTGTCAAGCACCATCAAATAGCCCTTCTTAAGGTTTCTGCTTCTTCTGTTGTAGGTTTTGAAGGCTTAAGATTCATATGAGGGCCTGAGCTAGTTGATTCCTCCAAATTTACAGCTTTAGATGATCGCTAACTGAGCTTGTCTGTATTCTTTTAATCATGGGAGAATGGGTCATCGGAGCTTTCATTAACATTTTTGGAAGTGTTGCTATTAATTTCGGCACAAACCTTCTCAAATTGGGACATAATGAGGTCTGCATTTGTCTCAGGCACTACTGTTTGATTCAATTTTATCTCGTGAAGCTCGCTTACAGACTTTGTGTGTTATATATCAGAGAGAAAGGTTAGCTTTACAAGAACATGGCGGAGGAAAGATGCCATTAAAGCCAATTATACATTTTCAGACATGGAGAGTTGGTATGCTCTGGTCCTGAACCTTTTTCCCCTTTTGGTGTTTATATGAAGCTAGTTTTGAGTCCAATGCTTTTGGAAACTTACAGGGATCCTAGTCTTTCTTCTTGGGAATTGCCTCAATTTTATTTCGTTTGGTTATGCTGCTCAGGTAAAATGATTTGTTCGACACTGCCTACTTGTGTGATTTGTAAGATTTCGCTGATTGCATTATGGTTTCTCTTTGATTTTCTTACCTTTACGCACTCCCTTTTGCAGTCCCTTCTAGCAGCTCTTGGATCTATTCAATTTGTATCCAACATAGCATTTGCTTATGTTGTATTGAACAAAATGGTGACTGTCAAGTATGCAATCAACCTCATGCAATTTTTAACATGAATCAACGATTTACTAAGTCTCTGCTCTTCTAATATCTTTTGGTATTCCTTGGTCACAGAGTACTCGTTGCTACAGCCTTTATAGTTCTTGGAAATGTATTCCTTGTAGCTTTTGGCAATCACCAGTCACCAGGTAACTTTTTTTAACAGATAGGTTTTGGTCTATACTTTTTTCACAAAGTATGACCTAATGTATCTCTTCTGTGCTCAGTTTTCACACCCGAACAGTTGGCAGAGAAATACAGCAATGTAACATTCTTGGTCTACTGTGGAATTTTGATTCTAATAGTAGCTGTGCACCATTTCCTCTATAAGTGAGTCTTGCATTTGAAATTGTTGCCTTACACTATTTTTCAACTACCCGCCCTCTTTTGTGATCAGTTTATTCGATATATTCAGGAAGGGAGAAGTTTTGATATCTACACCTGGACAAGAAATTAACTCATATTGGAAAATGCTGCTTCCTTTCTCATATGCTGTGGTCTCGGGTGCTATAGGATCATGTTCGGTTTTATTTGCCAAGTCACTGTGAGTTTGCAAGTCTACTAGGCTTTAGGTGAAATTCAAATAGTTTCAGGTGCTAAATTTGAGTTTCATTTTGCAGCTCAAACTTGCTGAGATTGGCCATGTCTAGTAGCTATCAATTGCACAGCTGGTTCACATACTCTATGCTTCTTTTATTTCTTAGTACAGCCGGATTCTGGGTAAAAGCCTTAAAGATACTGAAATTTTGGGTGCTTTGTTGTGCAGTTGAGACGATAAGGTTACTGAAGTAAAAATGTCTTTCATGTGCTTGTTTTGCAGATGACAAGATTGAATGAAGGATTGTCTCTATATGATGCAATTCTCATAGTTCCAATGTTTCAGATTGCTTGGACTTTCTTCTCCATTTGTACAGGATTCATCTACTTTCAAGAGTTTCAGGTTCATCTATTAACTTGTGATGTCTTCCTTCTTTTTTCTTGATCTTTGGGCTAAAAAGAATCTAGATGATTAGTTTGATCAATTTGTCACTGAATAGTGTGGGTTTAGGCTTAGATAATTTCTTCTTCCTTCAACAGGTTTTCGATGCGCTAAGAACAACAATGTTCATATTAGGAATGATGTGTGTATTCATAGGAATTTCTTTACTAGCACCTGATGATACAAGAGGCAACGAGACAAAAGATAATTCGTCATCTCTCGACTCCATCGTGACCTCGAGCGTACCAACCGAAGAGGACAGGTAAAAATTGCATTCTTATTAGGTCCCTAATTCAGAAGTTTTTCATGTTATGTTTAATAACCATTTTGATCTTTAATAACAGGTTGATGCCACAATCATCTGAAGATGGACATAGCAAAGACACAAGAGTAGTTGTACAAGGAATGTATATGAAAGCAGCTGATCTAATTACCAAGACGAAGGTACCCACAAGTGAAAGTATCATTATTATGAGCTTTATCAACAGTACGATAACAAAAAAAAAATCATATTTCATTTGTTTGCAGACTGCTTGTTTAGCAGCATTGGGCTTTGGCGAAGACTCTATAAATGCATCTGCGATTTTAGTGATGCCAATGGTATCTTCGAAGATTACAGGGTTTAGAGGAAATGGACTTGAACGGGCTAAGATTTTTTCCATGAGAGGATCAGGATGGAGCAAACTAGCCATGGAAGAAGAAGGGACAAGAATGCTTGAAAAGACGAACTCTTCAAAGGCTTAAGTAGGTAGTGAAAACAGAAAGCTATGAAACCGAGTCTCAGGTGCATTTCTTCTGTTATCATATATGGCTTTAGTAGCAAAATCTGTCTTTAGGAAACCATCCCACGATTGTGTATCCTTGTAAGAACCAAATTGTATTACATAACATCTCTGTATATTCATTTTTTTGTTTTAGACCTGTGAAAAGTGTTTCATAAAGCACAGAATGTAAACAAGTTTGAATCGAGTTTATTACTATTACAAATCCATAACTCAGGGCTACAATTATACAGTCTTGGCTGATATTGTGAGAATCATATTGTAAAATAGATCTCTTGCTCTCCTTTGATCACCATGATTAGCGTCTAACAATCTCTAGTCACCGGTTTAAAAATGAGTAGTCGTCTTGAACCTGTTATGGTACCTGCAATGTTACAGCCATGTTAAATACCAATACATAAATCCGAGAGGACGAAAGCAGAACCTGAACTATTGAGTTACAAATTTCTGGTCAGGAAGACAGGAACTTTGACAAAGGGAGCGAGACAGTTAGTAGTGCAATTTATTCTCTGTTAAGGAGAACTAGACAACAATAATAGTGCCTTGACAGTAATATCAACGGTAATATTAGTCTAATTACTCACAATGAGAAATCAGCATTAATAGTGTTACCTTAAGTATAAGTCCTCAACATTCAGAAACTAGAAAGTAGCCATTGGATTAATTGGAAAAAGAAAGGAAACGAGAAGAGATACAAATAGCCAAATCCTTAGTCTAGATTTCATAATCTTTTGTGTTGTTTCTTTTTGGATTCCTGAGAAGATCTGTGATGAATCCAAAAAGATGTGCTGCCTGCAAATATCTGAGAAGAAGATGTCCAAAAGATTGCATCTTCTCACCTTATTTCCCTCCAAACGATCCTGAAAAATTTGCATGTATCCACAGAATCTATGGTGCTGGAAACGTTTCCAAAATGCTTCAGGTATTATATCATCACATCTTTTGTGTATATTCTCTAAAATCCTAAAAAAAGATTACGTTCTTGCATATAGTATATGATATAAGCATTCATGTTGGATTTTGGTGATTATTATTATTATTACAAATCCATAACTCAAGGCTACCATTTTACAGTCTTGACCGATATATTGAGAATCATAATGTATATAAGAGAAGAGAAAAAATGGGAAAACATGAAACAAGTCTGATTTCAAATGGTTAACATCACTTCCAGTTGTTGGCAACAATGTCAGCCAAGTCAACAACTCTCTGTGAGTAACCCCATTCATTATCATACCAAGCAATCACCTTAACCATGTCATCTCCCATAACCATAGTGAGTGATGAATCAATGGTTGTAGAGAAATCTGAGCATCTGAAGTCAACGGAAACGAGTGGCTCATCGCAGACTTCGAGTATACCTTTAAGCTCTTTCTCAGCGGAATCTCTGAAAGCAGCGTTAACTTCCTCAGCAAAAGTCTTCTTTGAGACCTGCACAACGAGATCAACAACTGATACGTTTGGTGTTGGTACACGGAGAGCAATCCCATTGAGTTTCCCTTTGAGGTTAGGGAGCACAAGTGCCACGGCTTTAGCTGCTCCTGTGGATGTAGGAACAATGTTTAAAGCAGCTGCTCTTGCTCTCCTTAGATCACGGTGACTCGCGTCTAGCAACCTCTGGTCACCGGTGTAAGAGTGAGTGGTTGTCATTGTACCCTTAATGATACCTGCAATATTACAAACACATTAAAAACTGTTTCATTGATCCGTAAGAGAGGATGCGAAAAAGGAACCACTGCATACCAAATTTCTGGTCAAGAACTTTGACAAAGGGAGCAAGACAGTTAGTAGTGCAAGATGCATTGCTGATGATAGGTTCATCATGACTGTAAGCATCAGCATTGACACCAACAACGTAAGTTGGAATATCTCCTTTGCCTGGAGCAGTAATGATAACCTTCTTGGCTCCAGCTTCAATGTGTTTCCCTGCACCTTCTCTATCGACAAACACTCCAGTTCCTTCGATGACAATGTCAATTCCCAACTCCCTAAGATATCAACCATAAGCCAATTCAAATGCTAATCTAGATTTCATACAAAGACTGATCAATTAAATTCAGACACATAAAGTTCTGTATTGACTTACTTCCAGGGGAGAAGAGAAGGGTTTCGGTTAGACACAACTTGGATGATCTTTCCATCAACAGAGATTGCAGTCTCTCCAGAAGGTTTGACATCAGCATCAAAGATTCCAAGGGTAGAGTCGTATTTAAGAAGATGCGAGGCCTGCTTGACACCACCAGTGTCATTAATGGCAATGACATCAAGAGGAGAGTCCTTGCGACCATGCCAGCATCTCAAGAAGTTCCTCCCGATCCTACCGAATCCATTGATGGCCACCTTAAGCTTGGCCTCAGTCACACCTTTCCTGTATCCACCACTGCTTCCCATCTGACACAAACACAGAACCATCCAAACAGTTCACAAAACGGCGAGAAACAGAACCAAACGACCAAAGGCTGCTCAAAATTAATTTATCAGATTTATCAATAGACAATGCTTAATTGCTTATTCCTTGATACAAACATTTCATCTCATAACATTGCATCATAAGACAGAACACACAAGCTACAGACAGTGTTGGAGGAAAAAGAGAACTCACTGCAGAGGTCTGGAAGGATACGATGGAAACGAACTCATCGGAAGAAAGTTTCTTGCCGAAGGGAAGAGAAGCAGAGGAGCTTCGCAATCCTGAGAACTCAGTGAAACCCTGGAAACAAAATACAACATTTACTTAACTTGTGTAAGAGACACAAGAAAGAAGAAGAAGAAGGAGGAGGAAGGTACCTGAAGAGATGGTTTGGGCACAGAGAAAGCAACCGAAGCCATGGTGACCAGAAAGAATCCAAGTTGAGTTTGTAGCAGCAGAGAGCAAAAATGATCGGTGACGCAAAGAGTGGTAATATAGGATAAAAATTTGATGACTTGGAGGCAAAGAGGATTAGATTCTGGATAGCTATCTTACTCGTTTCTATGGTTGTGGTTTTATCACTCTCTTGTAACGTTTCCATGATCACACATTCACAAAGTCTCTCCTCCACCTCATTTTTTAAATTTTGGGCTTTTCACTTGGGCTTCTCATTCGTGTGTGTGGTCACGGTTAGAATAAAGGATAAGGCTGGTCTCCTCCATTTGTCTGCCTTGTAGAGTTTAGACTTATATGATTCGGAACCAAACAAGATTTTACCAATCTATTGTCTTGTCTGACACAAAGATATGTACTATTCATATTTCACGAACGGCCAATACTATTTACCATATGTTCAATCACATTCATAGTTTCAATTGTATCGATGAGGCGAGAGAGAAACTGAAAAGATTGGTCAAATGATTAAGGAAAGCTGATTTTTTTAACCGCAATGATTTTCGCCACAGCCTACAGATGTGATCATGCGAACAGATGCCCTTCTAGTCATTTTTTTTTTTCAGTTGGACTGGGAACAGATAGTCTTTAGCCTTCATCGATGACAAGTAATAAAGATTACATCATCTGTACTTAATGTTGCTAATGCCTTTGCACAGCTCTACGCACCTCTGAAGTGCATTAAGTATAATAACAAAAATGACATGAACATCATCGACAAAGCTTACAACAATTAACAAAGAAAGCTACACATTCCATACAATGGTGAGACAGACAAGATACTCTAATAAGAACTAACTTTATACACGACTTCAGAATCCTGTAACTCCATCAGCTCAAGGACATAGAAACATAAATGCTGTTATTTCTAGTTCTCTTTCTCACTTCTCTCTGTTTAAAACTAGCTTCCCATTCGACTAATTAAATCCAAAGCTAGAGCTAGCTATTCACAATTGAAGGTGCACAGATCATACTATGAGAGGGAAACTCAACGAGGCTAAAAGTAAAAGATCAAAGGATCATTAATCAACAACAGGGAAGAGTCTTTTACATTCGACAGAAATCTGGAAACTATAATCAGACCCTGAGAATCTGCAGCTTGTTAGAGAAGGCAATGGCAACCCAATCAGGCTGGGAAGAAGACCACTGCAGCTGCTCAACCTCAGCGCCAGCTGTGTAAGCTAGAATTGGATCCAGACCACCTTCAACATGCTGTCCCATTGAAGAGATATCCCAAATCAACGCCTGAGAATCATCACCAGCAGTACAGATATGGGAGGAGCTATGAGGAGCCCAAGCAATAGCATTGACACTAGCCTGATGTCGCTGAAGCTCCACAACAGGAAGAGCCGGAAACCGAATGTCAAGCACCACAATTTTAGCACTGCCCATGATCACAGTAGCCATATACCTCGGATCCTGCTTGTTCCAACTAAGACGCACCAAAGGAGTACTAGGCTCACCACTCTCATAGATAATCGTCGAATGCTCCTTATCACGGAGATCGAATACTCTAACAGAACCATCCTCTGAGACAGAAGCAAAGACACCAACTCCACCCCAAGCAATATCATAAACCTCTTTATCATGAGCAATAAGCTGAGTATCCACAACTTCACGCTCTATATCCCAGATCGTACAAGTCGTATCAATACTAGAAGTACCAATTCGTCTAGGCTCAGCTTCATTCCAATCAAATGAAGTAATCGGACCACTAAACTCACTATTCTTATCACTATTAAGACAAGACTTAAGCTCAACACGAGAATCATCATCAGCGATTCGCCATAAACGAAGAAAATCACTCGAGGTAGCTAAAAGATCGGGTCTTTGACACTCTTTATCGGGGATGAAACTGGTTTTGGTTGGTGGGTACGGATGCTCGAAGCTAAGATTCGGATCTGATCGAATCTCACCATTTGATTCATCAAGCTGAACAATCTCGACGCGATTCGGATATTGCTCGATGAGGCTTGTGATTGCGAGTCGATACTTCTTGTCTCGACGAATGCTCCAGTTCATTGCGTAGATCTGCCATGGTGCTTCGTATGTGTAAATCTCTGATCTTTTCGATTGCTCATCAGAACCATCTTGGATTTGATCGTTGCTCGTAACCATCTTTGCTTCAATGAAGCATAAACCCTAGATTCCTCTGTTTCCTCTTCTAAGAGCAACTTTATCGGGCTAACCGATCGGGCCTTCGGGCAGTATTTTAATGGATTAAAATTAAAACAGTCCAATTCTAAGATCCATCCGGATGTTGGGCAAGACTCTTTTCGGGCCGAGTCTTATGCCACGTGGCAATATAGGTTTAATTTTTGGGTATTTTTGTTTTGTCGAAAATAATGAAAATCCCTATATCGACTCTCTCTCTCGAATCATCTTCTTCTCCGCCATGAGAGGAGCTCTCTTCAGAAATGCATCTCTCTGCGCTCGTAGAACCATCCTTTCTCCTCGGGTAACTCATCGAAGCTCCCCCAATGTTCCCTTCATCGCTCCAATCGCTGCTCTGGTTCCCCTCACATCCAGATTTTTTCTCTCCGAATCCGACATGTCCGGTGAGAGCTCGACTACTGCTCCCGAATCTGTTGTCCTAAGTGTTCTTCACCAGCCGCTAAAGCTCAACACAGGCGAAAATGGTGTCAGGATCAGGGATATGTGCGAAGCGCGTTGTCGTCGACGCGCGCCACCACATGATTGGCCGTTTAGCTTCGATCACCGCCAAAGAGCTTCTCAATGGCCAGAAAGTTGTCATTGTCCGGTGCGAAGAGATTTGCCTCTCCGGTGGACTCGTTCGCCAGAAAATGAAGTACATGAGGTTTCTTCGTAAACGTATGAACACTAAACCTTCCCATGGACCTATTTACTTCCGTGCTCCTTCCAAAATCTTCTGGCGTACTGTTCGGGGGTTCGTAAATTCAATCTCTCTCTCATTTTCTCCGATTAGGTTTTGGAAATCACAGTTTTTGGTTCATGTTCTTAGTTTAGGTCTTTGTGTTGGTTCAATTCGTGATTGTAATCTTGAGATATCATGGAGTGTTGATTTCAATTTGTGATTCTGTTTTTTTGAAGTGAGTGATTGATAGTTGTTGTTATGTGTTTTTGATTTTGAAGTATGATTCCACACAAACGAAGCGTGGAGGTGGAGCTGCTGCACTTGCATGTTTGAAGGTTTTTGAAGGTGTTCCTACTCCATATGACAAGGTCAAGAGGATGGTCATCCCTGATGCTCTCAAGTTTGTTCCTTTTACTATACTCTTTTGCTTTTCTCTTTATGTTTCTTAAGTTAGATACTTTTTAGCATTGTAATTCTTTTTCTTCTTCAGGGTCTTGAGGCTTCAAGCTGGTCACAAGTATTGTCTTTTGGGCCGTCTTTCTTCTGAAGTGGGGTGGAACCACTATGACAGCATCAAGGTATGTGTTGTTGTTGTCTTGTATCTATTGCTTTTTAACCTGCTTTGATTGTATGTACTAGTTATTATGAGCTTTCTTAATGATGAGAAGAAAGATATTTAGCTACTAGAACGTGTCTAGGTTTGTAGGTTTGTTCAGTAAGAAGTGATTAGATAGTGAGAAAAATCAATAGCCTTCTCTTCTCCATTGCTCATGAACCACTTTGATCACTTGTACAGTTGATGTGAGATTTCATAATGATAGAAAGAAAGATACTTAGCTACTAAAATGTTTCTTAGTTTTGTTAAGTAACAGAAAGGAGAAAGATTATGAGCTATGAGGTTTTGTGTGTAAATTAATGGTACTTTACAAGATGCATGAGCTATGAGGTTTTGTGTGTAAATCCAATATACAAGGTATGTGAAATTCTGAGAATAGTGAGAAATGTCTAAAAGTCGTAAATTTATAAAAACTTGTACTTGCTGATCATGTTGATCATAAACCTGTTTACTATCATCATCATGAGGCTCATATCAATCCTCCTAGCCCTCATCCAGAACCCCAAGGTTTGTTTGCTAACTCTGAATAAAGCAAGTTGTAGATGGTTTAAAGTTTCATCTGTTTGTTTCTATTTATGTTGATATCGTTGGTTTGAATTTCCAGTTCCTGACTATGTTCTGGAGCAAGAGGCTAGAGATTATGTGAATGCAGTCCAAATCAAAGATGATCTTGTTGACAAGTACAGTCTGCAAGAGGACCAACATCAACCTCAGCAAGAAGACTATGTGGATGAAGTTGAAAATAACGACTTGGAAGCACATTGTGTTCACTTATATTTGTGTTATTGGAATCTCTCAATATAGACTATAGACTCTCTTTTGAAAAGATAAAAATCTTGTTATGAATCGGTTTTCATTTGTACATCACTTTGGTGTTGCCTTGGTTAAGAACATGTTTATATTTGGAGCTGTTTATATTTGATATGAAATGCTTAAAAAATTTTTTTGTGAAAGGTTTATAAACTTTTTGTTCATTTCATAAAATGTTTTGTATTTCATTTTTATGTTTGAATCTTTATAAGTTTCTGTTTTTAATTTATATGTTACTATCTTTTATGTTTCTAATTTTTATCGAAATTGTTAAATATATGTTATAAATATTATTTAGTTGTATTATCTTTTTCTTTTTATTTTCTAATATGTTTTATGTTAATTTAAATAAGTTTTCAATTTTTAAATTATTCAATTAGTTTTAAATATTATTAATATGTTTAACAATATTTTATTATTATAAATATAAGAACCTAAAAGTTCAACCAATACTTGCCTATTTTTGTCTGGTTCTTAAAAAACACTATTATATTATTAATATATTAAAAATACACTAAGATGCATGTTTGAGGTTATGCCCTTGCGGATGCTCTAATGGATATTTACTAATTTTTATATTTTCTTTTTAAAACAAAATTACATTCGACTAAACGACGGCGTTTAGATGCGAAATCAATTTATCATTTCGGTTAGCTTTGGTACATTACGGTTCATTTCGGTAATTTGATTCACTTTCGGTTAAATCGAGTTTAATATGTCCGAATCGAACCGGCTATCGAAGCATTCCACTCCTCTTGCCGTTGGTTTAACTCAATAACCGAAATTATGGTTCTATTCTCCGGTTTATTTGTCCACGCCAAGCTTCATCATCATCCACACACGATCAATCGAGGAGAGAGTGAATGTGAGAATTTGGGGATTTATCGTTTAATCCATGGCGGCTCCGTCGCCGTCTTCCCCACCAAACCTCCTCTCTCCTCCACCTTTCCGATCACCGGAAGCTTCTTACTTACTCAGAACCTGTCTAAGTTTCTCTCAATTGAAACAAATTCACACCAGAATCATCAAACACAATCTCACAAATGATCAGTTACTAGTTCGTCAGCTCATAAGTGTTTCTTCTTCATTCGGAGAAACCAAATACGCTTCTCTCGTCTTCAATCAACTACAGTCTCCTTCTACTTTTACATGGAACCTTATGATACGTTCTCTCTCTGTTAATCATAAGCCTCGTGAAGCTCTTCTTCTCTTTATACTTATGCTCAATCATCAGTCTCAGTTTGATAAATTCACTTTCCCTTTTGTTATCAAAGCTTGTCTCGCTTCTTCGTCTCTTCGTTTAGGTACCCAAGTTCATGGTTTAGCTATTAAAGCTGGGTTTTTTAATGATGTGTTCTTCCAGAACACTCTCATGGATCTTTACTTTAAGTGTGGGAAACTAGATTTAGGACGTAAGGTGTTTGATAAAATGCCTGGGAGAAGTATTGTTTCATGGACTACTCTGCTTCATGGTCTTGTCTCCAATTGTCAATTAGATTCTGCAAAGATTGTATTCAATCAAATGCCAACGAGAAACGTTGTTTCATGGACTGCAATGATCACTGCTTATGTCAAGAACCGTAGACCCGATGAGGCGTTTCAGCTCTTTAGGAGAATGCAGGTTGATGATGTTAAGCCTAATGAGTTTACGATTGTTAATTTGTTGCAAGCTTCTACTCAGCTTGGAAGCTTGTCTATGGGAAGATGGGTTCATGACTATGCTCATAAAAACGGTTTCGTGCTTGATTGTTTCCTTGGAACAGCTTTGATCGATATGTATAGCAAATGTGGAAGCTTGCAGGACGCAAGGAAAGTCTTTGATGTGATGCAGAGTAAGAGTTTAGCGACTTGGAATTCAATGATCACTAGCTTGGGTGTACATGGATGTGGAGAAGAGGCATTGTGTCTGTTTGATGATATGGAAGAAGAAGCAAGCGTAGAACCAGATGCTATCACTTTCGTTGGTGTCTTATCCGCTTGTGCAAATACCGGGAATGTGAAGGATGGTTTGAAGTACTTCACTTGGATGATCCAAGTTTACGGTATCTCACCTATTCGGGAACATAATGCTTGTATGATTCAACTGTTGGAGAAAGCCCTCGAAGAATATGAAGTTTCAAGCTTGGTTGATTCTATGGATTCTGATCCAAACCACAATAATTCATTTGGTAACGAATACACGGATCAAGTGAATGAAAGACACCAAACTCCGAGCCAGCATCAGATTATGTTCTCCAAGTGGGATACAGGCCGATTTTGAAGGTTCAGTGTCTCTTGACATATAATTTTTTTCCTTTATTAAACAGATTCATTGATCATCTTTGTAACTATAAACTAAAAGCTCCGGCAAAAATAGTGTAATCTCATGGTACTTGTAAAAGGAATGGAGTTTAGATATGCTCAACTGCTTAAGCAGTGAAAGTAGTAAATTGGTTTTGTAATAATGTCTTTTATTTGTAAACAGATTCTTTGATCTTATATTATGATTCTCAAAATATCGGTCAAGACTGTAAAATTGTAACCCTGAGTTATGGATTTGTGATAACAATAAACTTGTTTACATTTTGTATTTTTTATGAAACACGTTTATAGCGCAACTATTGAAGTTAAATTTGAAATGTTAACCTTGATACAACTATAATGGCCTCTTGATTATGAGTTTGTTATATCATTGTTAGTGGAATTATAAAACGCTTATTATTTTTTAAGTAGACACAATCAGAAACGAAAATGCAAAAGAGATTTTATTCAGAAGTTGAAAGATGAACCTGAGATATTACATAAAATCAGAATTTTGGTTTTGGCTAAGTTTGGTTTGAGCAACAGCAACCTCAGCTTGAACTTTGGCTAATTCATTCTGAGTATTCTGAATTTGAGTTTGCAGTAGAGAAATAATGCCAACACATCCA